TAAATTTTCTAGTGTAGGTTTGTAGTGTTTGTTTTGCTTGATTAGTTGGAGAATTTCATCATAAGCTCACATCGGTAATAGAACCATTGAAAAACCAACAGGGAATACTGGATAACTGTTTCGTGTCAAGGTCAAACAAAATCTCTACAAAAGTAATACTTAAAAGGCAAACTTCAACAATAGCGTCCCAAGAGTGCGAACGCATAAGTGACCTTCAGCTGACCAATCATAAAAATAAGGAAATTATGCTCAAAAAATGATGTACATTGACAAGAAAATGCTTGAAACCGCATTAAACAGGTTATCTTTCTCTGATATTGCTTAAAAATCCGCCCTAGTTGTAACGAGGAGTATCAGTTGCTATTATTATTATTATTGCTCGCTTGGGTTCCTAGTGGAACTTAGGGCTTCAACTCCACGTCTCCACTTGCTTCTGTCTTCTGCTGTACTTTTCACCTGCATCCATGTTAGTCCATACTCTTTCAACTCCTCTTCACACAATCTCCTCCACGTCGCCCTTGCACTGACATACCACTCGCCGCTTCCCTTTCGGCTTCCACTCGAGCGCCTGGCGCGCGATGTCACCCAGCGGCCTCCTCAGCGAGTGTCTAATCCATCTCCACTTTCTCCTGCATATTTGTTGGTTGGCGACTGGTTCCTGTCTTGTTTGTTCCTATAGTTTCTTGTTGGTGATTCTTCCTGGCCCGGCCATCTGATCTTCAGTATAGAGCGAAGACAGTTGCTGATAAGTGGCTGCAACCTGTTGGAAATATTTTTTGTGACTGGCCCACCAAGTTTCTGATCCGTATGGAGGAACTGACTTACTTGACGTTTGTATTAAAAATCCGATCGAATTTTGTTGTTGACGCTAGTTGAGTGATGAAGATTTCCAGATTGATTTCAGGTTGATGAATGTGTTTCTCGCCTTCCCGATTCTCGCCCGATTTGACATCCTCGTCCGCCCCTTGGAAACTGTAGTTGAGACAATGTTCCCTAGATAAGTAAGTGAATTAACCTCTTTCAAATCCCTCCCATTGATGGTGATTGACGCTGGATGTTGCTGTTGTTGTTGTTGTTGTTGGTTGGTTATTTTCATCACCTCCACCTTGTGTATGTTCACCTGGAGTCCTGTCTTCTCCGGCTGCTTCTTCGACCAGTTTGTCGGTTTTCGCTTGTAAGTCTTCGATTTTGTGTGACATCAAACATAAATCATCCACGAGTGAAACCCAGGTCTTCTAGGTTCTTCGTGTCGGTCCAGAAAAGATATTCCTGTCTTCTCGTTTCCCACTGTCTAACTCATAATCCAGCCAGTGCACCACAATTAGGAATATCATTGTGGGTGATAGTAAGCACCCTTGTCTGACTCCTGTGTTCACTCCAAACGCCTTGCTGAGTTTTCCGTTGTGAAGATCACTTGACATGTGCCGTTGTCGTACAGTTGTTGAATAAGGTTGATGAATATTGGGGGAAAAATACGCCATAGTACTCAAGTAATTTCCAAATTACTTCGCGATCAACGCTGTCGAAGGCCTTCTCAAGGTCTATAAAGTTGAGGTTGAGGTTTGATCGCCATTCCATGCTTTGTTCCAAGCTTCGATTTAGCTTGTTCTGGTCGGAGTTCTGTCTCCAGTGCGTCCTTTAATCTCTCCAGGATGATGCGACTCAGGATTTTACTTGGCGTCGACAGGAGCATGATTCCTCGCCAGTTCTTGCAAGTGAGTCCTAAGTCTCCCTTCTTTGGTAGTTTCACGAGGTAACCTTTCCTCCAGTCAGTAGGCACCTTTCCCTCCTTCCAGACCTTTTGCAATAATGGAGTCAGCATGTCTGCTGTAGTCTCTGGGTCTGCTTTCAGTGCTTCAGGGGTATTCCATCTGGTCCAGCTGCTTTTCCAGCTTTCAGAAGTTTGATTGCGTTCAAGACTTCAGCTCTCGTTGGAGGATTGGTGTCAACTTGCAGTTGTGTGCGCGCTGTTGTTGGTATTTCTGGACGGGTTGCAGGTGATGGTCGGTTCAAGAGTCCTTTGAAGTGATCCGCCCATTGTTTAATCTGTTTTTCTTCCTTGGTAATTGGGTTCCCTTGGCTGTCTTTTATAGGTTTCGCTTGTGTTGATCTCTTCCCGGATAGAGATTTGGTTATCTGATATAGTGTCCTCAGGTCCCTTTTGCCTGCTGCCTTTTCAGCTTCAGTGGCCAGGTTGTCGTAGAATCGTCTTTTGTCCTTCCTAGCACTCTTCTTCACTTCTTTGTCCAGTGCTTTGTAAGTTGAGCTCAGCGTCTCCTTCTCCTTGCATTCTCTTTCACCATTCTCCTCTCTTCTATTAATTTCCAAGTGTCCGTTGAGAGCCATTCCTTGTCTTGTCTCTTCTTTCTTCCTAGAACCGTTGAACACGTTTCGTTGAGAATCGCCTTCAGAGACTTCCAATGTTCTTCCACGCATGATTCTTCAGTGATGTCGCGTAGTGTTTCCTGCTTTGCTCTGACAGTTGCAGTGAAGGTGTCTTTTGTGGTTGTGTCCTTCAGTAATTGAGTGTTGAACTTGCATTGTGGCCTATCCCCAGCTATCCTCGAGGCTTTTAGTTTCACCTTGAAAGTCCCTTCTACTAGATAGTGGTCTGAACCCACATCTGCTCCTCTCCTTGACCTTGTGTCCAGTAGGCTCCGTCTCCACTTTCTTGAAATTGAGATGAAGTCTATTTGGTTTTGGTGTTTCCATCTGGTGAAATCCATGTCGTCTTGTGTATATCCTTGTGTTTGAACACACTACCGCCAATCACCAAATCATTGAAGGCGCAGAAGTCTGAGAAGAGTTCACCATTGTCGTTCATTTCACCGAGGGCCTCACGACCCATGGTGAGTTCTCTTCCTGTGTTGTCTCCTCCCAGCTTCGCATTCATGTCGCCCATCAGGATTTTGATATCGCCATTTGGGACGTTGTCCATTATTGTTTGTAGTTGTCTGTAGAACGCCTCCTTCTTCTCTTGTTCTGAGACGTTTGTAGGCGCATAGCATTGAATGACTGTAACTTTCCTTCCTTTTGAGTTGAACCTGGCTGTCATTATCCTGGAGGAGATTGGTTCCCACTGCATGAGAGCTTTGGTTGCTGTTGGTGACATCATGATGGCCACTCCCTCGGTGTGCTCATGGTTGTCCTCTAGGTGGCCGGAAAGATTACTGTCTCTCCAGTAGGTAGTTGGCACCTTCCAGTTCCGTTCCATCTGCTCTCGCAGATTCCCAACACTTCTATTCTGTACCTTCTCATTTCAGCGGCTATCTGGGCAGCCTTTCCAGTTTCGTACATTGTACGAACATTCCAGGTACCCATCCTTACTTTTGCTTTCATCGAAAGAAGGCACATCGGCTGACTGGCTTCCCGAAGGCTTTCACCAGCCTGCGTCATTTCACTTCCCGATTCCAGCGAAAAGTAAGGCTATTGCTTATGTTTTTAGAATTTTTAATATATTTATTCGTTGAAGTTTCTGTAGCGATTTGGTTGTTTTACGGGGGTGGAGTTGCTAGCACCACGCCCCAACCCTCCCTTTTTACCCGGGCTTGGGACCGGCTATAAAACTAGAATGCTAGTAGCCTAGCAAGCTAGTAATCTGGCGAGGTTATATCAGTTGCTAAGTTAGACTAATTTCTATACATGTATTCTCCGAGATGACTGCTTTTGTGAGTCGTTTATCTCTCTCATCCTGCCTTCAGTCTTTCAAAAAACCCTTGGTTGAATTATTATGGTTTCCAGCAAGAGGATAGACGCGGATAATAAAACAAATTAAAATGAATGATATCGACTATAAATCTATCCCTAATCGTAACCAAAAGCTTAATCCTGACCATAACACTAAACCTAACCTTAATCCTAACCCTAATCATAACCCTTATTCAAACCGTAATTCTAACCCTAATGCTTATTATAACCCTGATCCTAACCCTAACCTCAATACTTACCTTAACCCTAATCCTAACCCTAATGAGCTATTAACACATTGTCCAAACAGTACTTATAAACATGATCTGGGAGAAATTTGCTCCTAAGTTGGTGAATTGCGTTGATATTTCAGCTATGATAATGACAGATGCCGTTAGCCGTTAGCCAACGACTAGCATGCGTTCACGGTCATTGGAGCACTCCGTTCACACTCCTGGCTTGACGCTATTGTTGAACCTCACCACTAAAAAATTGATCCGATGCTCACTAGCGACTTGCCCTATCCAGACAGTTACCTGGGGTTCCAGTGGTAAGCCGCGACCAGTAGGGTACAGCAGGTCGAAGATGAGGACAGTTACGCATCGAAGACATTGTGAAGTGATCACGTTCCATCATCAATTGGTAGAAGTTAGAATTCATGGACTGGCTGGCCACTGGATCGAGTCCCAGTGGCTTAATGGTTCACGAGCGCACCTGGGTACGAACGCTTACGGTGGGTGCGTACTGCTGAAGGGTCTCAGACTAGGACGAAGCAGCTATCCAGTACTCCCTAGTGGATTTCCAATGGTTCTCTAAACAATCTGAATTGTCTCTCAGGTAAAGTTGGTCTTCTGTGATTTTGTCTCACATGCCTAGAAGAACCCGTAATCATATTATATGTTACGTTGGACTGTTTTAAACGTATTTTATCAAGTTTCGTTAAATACAGCTTGAATATTTGCTGTAGCGTTCGATATACTACTATGCACGAGAATACCTTGCGATTATTTTTATTATAACCAGAGCTGTTTGTTCAATTGTCATGCATCTGGACATCTAAGCATCAGTCTAAATTTCTTCTGTGGTCAGGAATAAAGCTGTGCTTCTCTACATATAAACAGACAAACTATGCACATACAACGCCTACGCACAACTACTGACTAAGAAGCCTGTAAACACGATTCCAATGCTGATTGGCTAATTTCTCAGTGTGTGTAGGCATGAATTAATATGAAATGACCTAGAGTCTAAGATCAATACTCTCACAAAGTCTATATATTGCAATTATTATTTTTGCAACTATTACTAACATATATAAAAGTGATCGAAACTTTCTTGTTGTTGTCAAATGGAGGTTTTAAACAGAGTAAGTTTTTTTTCAAAAATAATATTGATTAGTGTTTCACAATGTATTAAACATCTATCTGTTCATTGTTATTACTATCATTGTTACGAGAAAGGTTTGTAGGTTGAAGTTAAAGTATCATAGCCAGAGTCAAGGTCTTTCAAAATTTGACACTTTAATAACCAATCACACAGAAGGAATGCTATGAAATATCGTCCAAATTAAATTATGCCAGCCTTTCTAGACTTCGAAAAGGCGGCTATACAGTATTCCATTTATTTTCTCTAGGTACTATTTCTGTAAATTTATACTGTTAGGTGGGGTTATGGCTTTTTCAGATAAGGGTCTAGGGTTAGGTTTGGAATTAAGTTTAAATTTAGGATTAGCAGTAGGTCAAAGAACAGTGGTACAAGTATCGCGCATGGTACGATTTCTCCATAGAACAACTATGTATTATAATATCATGTTTGCAATGGTTGATAATGCCTTTTTCAACGGTCATCTGACCATTTGGCACCTGAGTTCTGATTGGTAGTTCAAGGTCACTGCGATTCTGGCTATTATAGTTTAAAGGATTTCATCATGAGCTGAAATCGGCTAGAGAACCATCGGGAAACCTGGGAGTACTGGACAACTGTTTCCTCATAGTTTAGGACTCTTCAGGGGTACGCACCCACTGGGATTCGAATCTAGGACCTTCTGGTTGCAAGTCGTATACCATTAAGCCACTGGGACCTGATCCAATGGCCCATGAATTCTAACTTCTGCCAGTTCACGACATAGTGCGACCCCTAGCCAAAGTCTTCGGCCAGTATTTGTCCTCACACCCGACCAGCTGCACCCTACTACCACTCTGTCGTGAATTGGCAGAAGTAAGAATTCATGGGCCATTGGATCAGGTCCCAGTGGCTTAATGGTATACGACTTGCAACCAGAAGGTCCTAGATTCGAATCCCGGTGGGTGCGTACTGATGAAGAGTCCCAAACTAGGACGAAACAGCTGTCCAGTACTCCCAGGTCTTCCAATGGTTCTCTAATTATTGTCAGCTCATGATGAAATCCTGTAAACCAATCAAATCCCTACAAACCAACACTTGAATATTATAGTTTAACTTTGCCGTTTGTTGTAACATATGGGTACGACTGACTGACTGGTTTGAACATGCACCGATATGCAGCAGTTCCAGTCGCCACATTCCCTCCTTGTAGCACACAAAGCAAGAGGGGAAAGTAAAAAGAAATGCAAAATAAAGACAGTAAACAGAGATATAAGGTAAAAAGAATTGTAATAACGAAGAACAATATAGTTTCATTGGGTATTATAAGTCACAAGGAGTGGATGCATCTGTGCCAGCTATCAAGAACGAAGATTTTGAGTCATATCACCAATTGTCTCCAGCTGTCATTGGTTTTCATCGTCCCGAGGAACTCAAGCAGTCAGGAAGTCTACATCTTCCTATGTGACTGGCTTAAACTAACTGTTGTGGATTTCATTGATTGGTGAAGCCCTGTTTTGGTTTGCCCACCACTGGCTCTTTTCCAACCTGATCAATGGCATGTCAGCTAACATTACCCTTTGTCGAAGAAGGCGGTCGATGGTTAGGCATGCATGCGTACCACATATCCTAACCGTCTCAGATGATGTAATTTCACAGCCTCGTCGATTGATTTCCCCTCCCAACTACCTAGCACTCGACTGAAGCCTAACCTCAATATTGCTCAATTTATTTTACCACTTCACACAGGAGATAGAACGCAGAAACCTATGATCGAAGACATCTAACCAAGCTTTCCATGTTTTCCTTTTTCAATGGTCATGTCTCACAGCCAGTCATAAAGGGGAACAGAATGAACCCACGAGCAGTACACACGCCCTTTCATCGACTGCTGGATATCACGTGTACTAAGCCAAAGATGGCGTAAGTTTTCATATGCGAAACGAGCCTTCTGTAACGGTGCTGAGATTTCGTCAGCGATCAACCTTCGGGCGTTGGCTTATGCAAATTTCCAAATAAGTGAAGTGATAAACACGCTCCACCAACCACTTCACTCATTATTTATAAGCTGTAACATCACCTTACATTTGACAGGAACGGAGGAATCGCATGCCTAACATACGAAGACTACAGCTCAAGGCGTTCAGAAGACTCTGAATTTTTTCAGCGTCTTTACCTGTGCGGGAAGACTATATCTTCTGCATATTCTAAGTCAACGAGATAATTCCCTGGTGGTAGCAAGTCAATCCCTGAGTCGCTGAAGTCAGCAGCAGTTAGAGTTGATTCCATTAGTACATCTATGATGAAACTGAATAGAAATGGGGATAGGCGGCATCCCTGACACACACCACTGGTTGTTATCACTTCAAATGACAGTTCTCCGTAGGCTCTCATCTCGCTGGCTGCATAAGTTCGAGTAGAAAACCTTGATCAGTGACCAGGTTTTCATCACCATTTTGTTAACCTCAGATGGAATTCAACTGGTCGACTTGTGATGATTTTACATATATATATATATATATATATATATCCAACATCCAGCGTCAATCACCATCAATGGAAGGGATTTGAAAGAGGTTATTTCATTCACTTACTTATCTAGGGAACATTGTCTCAACTACAGCCAATGGGGGCGGACGAGGATGTCAAATCGGGCGAGAATCGGGAAGGCGAGAAACACATTCATCAACCTGAAATCAATCTGGAAATCTTCGTCACTCAACTAGCATCAACAACAAAATTCGGTCGGATTTTTAATACAAACATGTCAAGTAAGTCAGTTCCTCCATACGGATCAGAAACTTGGCGGGCCAGTCACAAAAAATATTTCCAACAGCCTGTTGCAGCCACAATTTATCAGCAACTGTCTTCGCTTGCTCTATACTCAAGATCAGATGGCCGGGCAGGGCCAGGAAGAATCACCAACAAGAAACTATGGGAACAAACAAACAGGAACCAGTCGCCAACCAACAAATATGCAGGAGAAAGTGGATGGAGATGGATTAGACACTGAGGAGGCCGCCGCTGGGTGACATCGCGCGCGCCTCAGGCCATTGCTCGAGTGGAACCAGGCCGAAAGGGAAGCGGTGAGTGGGATGTCAGTGCAAGGGCGACATGGAGGAGATCGTGTGAGAGGAGTTGAAACAGACTAACATGGACTAACATGGATGCAGGTGAAAAGTACAGCAGAAGAAAGAGGAAGCAAGTGGAGACGTGGAGTTGAAGCCCTATGTTCCTTTAGGAACCCAAGGGAACAATAATATATATATATATAATTCTCTTGTGTTCCGAGTGGAACATAAGGCCTCAACAGCAAGTTTCCGTTTTGTTCTTCTTCTGCAGTCCTCTTAAGCCGGCTCCACGATCTTTCATAAGCCTTCACCTCCTTCCCACACAACCTCCTCCGTGTCTCCGTCGGACCAATATCCAACTCATCGTTTCCCATTCAGGGTTCCACTCGAGTGATGGCCTGGAGTGCAATGTTACTCGACAGGTCTCCTTATCAAGTGTACACCTGGTTGTTGGAAATGTTAATTGTGACGCGCAGTGCAATTTTCTGACCTATATAGAGAAGAACTGATTCACTTAACACTGGTAATGAAAATCAGAATTTTGTTGTTTCACAGTGATGAATGTCTGTCTTGCCTTTCCAATTTTCGTCTTGATATATCCATCCGTGTCGGCTTCCTGTAGTTGAAACGATGCATCCTGGATAACTGAAGGAGATGACATCTTTTAAATGTTTCTCATTGGCGTGTTGTAACCAAGTCAAATTCTGTTTTAGTCCATCATTTCAATCCAGGCATTTTGGATTCCACTTGATATGAAGTGACAGCTTCTGATATTAGAAGTTCTTTGTGATTTCTGAAATTCTCTTTCTGGATTATTTCAATTATTGTCAAAACCAATTTCGTGACCTAATTCTATAGCGTGTAAACAAACCTATAGCGGATGATTTTTCAAGCTAACTGGATTTCCCATTGGTCGAAAAGATGTTCTACGGTGTTCATTTCTTCTGATTTTGATTTCTTTCTTGTGACGTTTGTATGGTGTATATCGCATCACATACCAAGTATTTTATTTTATAAACACAATTAGATAGAGAGTTTTTAGAGATTTCGTCTTTTATATGGACAAGGTTGCTTCATAGTGTGTCTGATTTTTGAAGAAAACTCTGATGTCGAGGTTATTGAGTATTCTTCTGATATCGTCTGACGTCTCTGCTCTATATGGAATGACAGCCGTTGAGGTCCATGTTTTCGGAATACATTTTCCACCATACTTAAAGGCCAGCAATGATTTTGTTGATGTTCTTTGGGTAGTTGTTTTTCTTGAGAGTACTAGTAATGTTTGATATTTCTTCTTCTTTTTCCTTTTCATCTGTTAACATCGAAGGGTGTGCTCGTCTAAGAAGACGTGGAACAACTGAAATCTTTGCACTGATTGGGTGTAATGACCCGAAGTCTAAATATTCGTCGGGGTGGTCTTTTTTCCTCAATACAGATGTATTAAAATTCTCGTTTTTCCTCCTCTTAAAGAGGGGCAGTCTAGAAGTGGTAATTTACCGACGTGTGATTCTGCTTCTGACTCGATAACGTAAAAATTACTCCCTGCTGATGAACCATGATTAACTTGTCAAATATATAAGCTGAGTGGATTTCTTAAATTCTGGTTTAATAATACTACTTTGATAAAGCTGTTAGCAGCAGCATTAAATAGCGAAACGTCAGTAAAAACAAGAATATCGTTTTGTTTTTCATTCATCGGGAAATGCAAAAAACCTTTATTAAAATTAATATCATATACCCCAATGCTCAAATTTTTCTGAATTGTAGATTTTCTACTTTGTGTGTGCCATTAGACATAAAAGTCCAGATCTTCCAGTGTCTTTCCGTTAGTCTAACATACTCATCTTTTCAAGTGTTGGTTTGTAGGGATTTGATTGGTTACAGGATTTCATCATGAGCTGACATTAATTAGAGAACCATTGGAAAACCTGGGAGTACTGGACAGCTGTTTCGTCCTAGCTTAGGACTTTTTAGCGGTACATACCCGCCACAGGAGGTTCGAACCCAGGACCTTCTGGTTAAAAGGCGAGCTCGTATACCATTAAGCCACCTTTTCTCAAATTTCACGGTCTACCGTATGATGTAATCCATCACAATAAGGAAAATCATTGTCACTGGTAGATAGCCTTATATAACTACTGTCTTCACTCTTAAAAGCTTCGTCTAACCTTACATTATGAACCAATTTCTCGGCATGCAACAGTATCATATATCTTTTGAATATGATTTATGAAAATCAGAGGTACTAGTGTGGTGAGAGCAGGCCGTGAGAAAATATGAGCAAGGCTGATTCAACAACCAATCACAGCAAAGTTAACGTGGCAAAATATGATTCGCAGATAGAGAACTCTATTTGTCGAGGAATCCCGAAATAACCAATCAGAAGCCTGCGTTTGTCTGCCTAACTTCTGATAAACAACCAATCAGATGACTGCGCTTGTCTACTTGCATAAGCTATAATAATGTATGTGAAATATATATAAATACATGTTGATTTTCATAATAAAACGATCTGTTGCCTGGCCCTTGTCTTCTGTTGTTACACTAGATTCTATAGTTTTTGAAGTGGTTTCAGAAATCATTTCACAACAAAAACCTTTTCTACGTCAATAAAATCAAAGCAAAGAATTCACTATCATTCTAGGCTTTTATTGGAAGCAAATATTACTTCATGATACTAGATGGTTGGAGGCGATCGGTCACAGAAGCCCTGCTGCACCTAGGTTTCGTGCTACTTGGCACTCATCAGTCAGTCAGTCAGTGAGGCGTATCTTCAATCTTTAAGGAGGTCTTATTGCCCTTTGAGATAAGAACCCGCGTCTTCCAGAGCCGACTGAGTCACAGACGTTACCATTGAACCGGCTTTCTGGGACTCGCGATCCACCTCCTCTAGGACTGTACTGGATACTTTTTGATTGGATACTACCCAATAACTAGTGTAATGTGTCTAATTCTTTCTTTGGTGCAGACTGAATTCTACCAGTCAGTCGTTATTCTAGGGAGCTCGCCATCATGGTGCACATTGATTTGGTGATATTAGATGGTTGGAGACAGTCAGCAGGAAGCCTTGCTTGACCGAGGTTTCGTGCTAGTTAGCACTCGTTAGCACTTGGTATTAAATTCGTATTAATATTCTTTTAATTAGCTATATAAAGATATATATATAAATTTATCAACTAATTTTACACGATTAGGTTGACAGTTTATGTGAAGATATTACAACAGAGTTGAATGCACTCGGTGAATGTATCTATGAAAAGTTGTCAGATATTTCATGGAAATTTGAAGAAATCGAATGTGTCACCTCAAAAGTTACTCTATTCAATGAAAATAAACTCATGCTTGATGAAGCTTATTTTCCAAATGAAAATGCAACGGCCAATTCTTCTTCCACAACGACAACAACGTCAGCCTGGGACAAAGTAGCTGCAGGCGCTGCCGCATATGCTCACAAAACTATAGGCAGTAAATATTCACAACCTGTAAGACATTGGTTAACCAATGCAGCTAGTACAGCAGTACAATATGGTCTTCTTGCTAGATATTCAACAGGTATCAACGTTTGGACACCTGAAGGCAATTGGTTTTCAGGGAAATGGACATCAGAGAATACAGCAAGCGCAGAAGAGTTAAGGTGTGCTATCGATCCTAGTATGTCCACACTGTGTATCAATGTTATCATAGCCGGTATTCTGAACTATTGTCAATCGAATTGTTATACACCGAAAAATATGTCAAATTATGCCTTACAACTGTTGCATAACGGTTCTATGGAAAAATTCGGGATATCCAATGAAAACGACAAGCTGCTAATTATGGAAATCACTAGTCAGTGGTGTTCAAGAATTAAAATCATTCAACTGATTGAAAGCGTGTTGAAAGCCTCCTGGGATTTAAAGGCTGTTTCCTCGATTGGTCAATGTAGGCTACAATTAACGCCTCAGATTAAAGAATATTTTGACTTTTTACCTATCAACTGGAAGGATATCCATCCGGCTGTGTGTATTGCGCATAAACTTGTCAAATCAAATTGTATTTATTTTGCTGACTTTCATCGTCAGTTAATTGATGTGAAAATTCAGTTGAATGCTATCCAAGAAAATCCATTCAAGTATCATTGTGATTGTAAATATCTATTGAAAAATAATGATAATAATAATCATGATAATAATAATAAGCCTAAGGTGGAAAACCACAAACTTCTATTTGGTCGGTTGATTACATTTTTCAAGTATGCAGAACCACACAGTCAATTGTTTCAACAATATAAATGTTTAAATTGTAATGGAAAAACTTGTGAAAAACAATATTCAGATTATAATAAAAATTGGGAATTAATTGTTCAACATATTTATAGTAATAATGAATACTCTACTTCTTCGATGATGACGATTACACCTATTGAAGAGATAATTAAAAAATTACAAGAATTAAAATTAATATCAAATAATTTCAAAATTGATGAGGTATCAGTTTCTTCTGTACGTGAGGCATATCAAATTTAAATGATCAATTGTCAATTGTACATGGAATATTGGACATTGAACAGTTGAAGAAGTGTTAATTGAAAGTTTCGAAATTATTATTTTTCGCTTTGAAAAGTTAATATTAGAATAATGTTTATTTTTTTATAGTTATAATAATGATAATGTGCATTAAAATTTTTCAAAAGAATGGATACTTAACAAAGAGTACTCTTTTCGATAGCCGCTTCATCATTCGACTTGTTTAAATAACATCGAATCAATAATTTTGATAGATTACACATCAACAGAAAAAAACATTAGGAAAGGTAATCATACAAATTCATGAATTCATAGTCTCTACTGAAGGCCAACCAGGGCAGTAGTAGTGGCTGGCTGGACTTGCTTCTTTTGAACGCAGAGCACTGATTGTTTGAGGCGAATTGCAATATAGCCTGTGCTGTTTGGAGCTTGCGGTGCTTCAATGTTTTTGACAATTTATTAGGCACCCGGTAGATGATGATAGAGAAGGATTCTTTCACGCTGGCTGGCTGACTTTGAAGCTGGCCGCTTTGCACCAGATGGTCCAATATCGAACTGTTAATGGTTTTCACTACACCTTTCCTTAGCCCTAGTGGGAGATATTCCCCAGCGAGCACAAAAAGTCAAGTCCCTAGAGCAACGGTCAGTCGGTAGATACAATTTGAAGTGGCTAGTCTAGGTACTTCATCGTTCAGTCGAGGTAGCACCATCGGTCGTGTAGACAATAGGTTCGCCAGCATTAAAAGTTCTTTGAACTGATTTTCTTAATTTCCTCGTAATTATCTCACTTGTATATCTCCCTTGAATTCCAGTCGTATATAACGTGACTTCTTGTTTACATATTGTGAGTAGTCCTTTTCCTCTTTCTTTGTCTTGTGTTTCTTGATAAATTTACCGGGATAGCTATTTTTGATCAAAGTATCATAAGCAATGCTTAATTCATCTTTAATTACTTCTTCTGAGCATATAGCTCTAACTCTGTGGTTGAGGGTCTTCAATAAATTTCTTTTGTACTTGATAGGAACGAATCTATGAAAATGTGTTTATTGTCCTGTTCAAGTACTTTTTCTATGCAGCTTTACTTTGTGGAAGTTTCAGCATTTGGTACAATCTTGCATCTAATTTTTTTTCTATTCCTTTACGTTTGCAGTAAAACATAGGGCTGCTTCAAGCTAGAGGCTTGAAGTTTCCGTAGCAGTGGGTGTTTTTAATATTTTTACGGGATGGGGTTGCCTGCCTCATACTCAACCTTCCTTGTTTGACAGTCTTATTATCGGCTTAGAATGGTAAAGGAGTGAGTCGGTGGCCGGCCAGGGATAGAATCCCGAACCACATGAGGAGTATTTTATGATGTGGTTGTGTTCTCTGAGCTGGATTGTTAGTTAATTTGCGAAGTTTTCATCGCCCTACTAGCTGACATCTTCAGCGAATACTTCAATTCGAGGAAGTGAGCTTTTCGATTTCTCCACGAGTTTATTAATCATCTCTCCTGACGGTGACCTTGGACGTGATTGGTTGTTTTTGTGCGTTATCACACCTTCTAAGTTACTTGTATTGGTAATGATTGTTTCTTTGACTTAAAATTTGACTCTCTGTGTGTGAGGCTTCTTTGTCTATCTCGATGTGTCTATTGACTGATGATTCACTGGAATACCAGGTTGGCTTCTAAAAATTATCTAGCATTCTTGTTGTTTCCTCTGTCTAATATATAAACATTGTCCCAATCTACTGGAAGATCTGGACTTTTGTAGCTAATGTCACACACACAAAATAGAAAATCTCCAGTTCGGAAAAATTTGACCATTGGGTATATGATATTTATTAGTATAGAAGATTTTGCATTTCCTGATGAATGAAAAACAAAACGATATTGTTACAGTATTAGGTAATTGTCTGTAAATTTGACTATATTCTGAACTGAGTTTTAATTTTGGTAAAAATACTTCGATGACATCTAGATATCGAAGAGACTACGGTTATCTGAAAAAAATGATCAACTTATAGGTTAGCTCTGCAAAGGTTATTCAGATTGAAAGGAAAATGCAAACATTATTCGATATTTATTTCTTTGACTACTTGAACAAAGGGATCCTTTGTAATATTGATTGATCCGATTGTCAACATGATACACACACATCTACTGTCACGCGTTTAATCAATAGATTGAGTATTGATTAATTTATTCTTTTATAGTTTCACTTAATACACACAAATCAATATCACTGAAGTATATTGTAGCAAATATCAAAATATTGGGTTTCAATGTCTCAATGCTTCTTTAAGTCTTAGTATTGTATGCACTTATGGATATAATTGATTTGAGAATATTTCAATAAGTCAAACTAACTACTTGTGAGTAATAAAAGCAGCTACGATCAGATTTGACCGAATAGTTGCAAAATTATTGGACTCCTTGTGAGAAGTAGACATATTTACTAAAAGTCATATTTATATACTCTCAGCGAAATTGAAATGAATAATTTCAACGTTTCGTTTGGCATTGTCTAGATTTTGTCAGGGAAATTAATCGAAACTTTATACATAAAAGGCACATTCCTTGTTTTCAAAAACTTTGTCCAATCATGAGTAATGAAACAAAACTGTGTGAACTGTGATCAGAATTTGACCTTAGACTGTCAACCTTAGCCTACTTTTAGTATACAATTGGTGGATGGTGGCTAGCAGTGGAATCCAGGATGCGTTTGTGGCACAGCGGTCAGGACTGTCGCCGATCATGCACATGGTCTGGGATTCGATCCCCTGCTTACGCACACCTGATATCTATGGTCGGTCTGCAAATTTGGGCTACCGATATCACATGCTGAAAATTCCATACCTGTACCAAGAAATACAGTGTAGAATCTATCTGTAATCAAAAATAAAATCAAAAAATATACGTGGTATTACTGTTGGAATTTCTGTATCTCCTATGACGAAGCTTCTCATTTGACGTGGACAATTTCATTAATGAAGAATTCAGCAGACAGATTAACGGTGTGACTAAGGGGTTACCACTAGGACTAATACAGAGCTGATATTTTCCTTGTGAAATTGGAGATTGGAACTTTGAAAGATGTAACTGGTACACTAGAAATCTATTCTCGTTACATGGATGATATCGAATGATGTGTATCCTGCAATAGATTTTAATATTATTTAAGAGAGAAACCCTAGTATTGTAACGGTAGAAGACAAGGGCCAGTCATCAGACTGTTTATTCAAAAAATCAAGAGACATTAATAGATTTAAATGTACATTATTGTTAGCGGAGAAGCAACGTCTTCTGATCGGTTGTTTTGTTGCCGAAGATTATTCTGTCATCTTTGTGGCCGCCTATCAGATAGTTAAGACATATGTCTGTGAATCCTATTTGAACACGTTAAGTCTGCTGTGATTGTTTGGTGAGTTCCGTAAGGTTAAGCTGTGTTATTGTATTTTTTCTCATAACCTCGATTCGGGACGTGAATATTGACGTAAATTACTGTCTACAATTTTTGGCTTGCCGCCAGCTCTCACCATACTATCTCATTCCTAGATATCCTTATGACTGGAAAAGAAGACGGTGTAATAAGAAAGAGTATACGGAAAAAACCTAAATGAACTGGTAAATATACCCATCTCTTTAGAACTTCATATCCTTAAAAGGTAAACGCAATTTCATAAACGGTTACGTATACACAGCGAGAGTATTCGGTTCAGATGAATGATTCAACGAAAACAGTGATATTATTTCAAAACATCAGTATTTTCAAAACACATGACAAAGAAAGAGGAAAAGGACTACTCACTATCTGTAAGCAAGAAGCCACTTTATATACGACTGGAATTCAAGGGCGATACTCCAAGTGAGATAATTACGAGGAAATTAAGAAAATCAGTTCAAAGAACTTTTAATGCTGGCAAACTTTGTGTCTTATTTTCCAAACGACTGACCAGTGGTGATTCCACGGCTGAAAGATGAACATCTTCCTAGTAAATTGCCAAAATCATCGGAGCACCGCTAGCCCCAATCAGCAGAGGCCATTGCAATTCTCCTTTAACAACCAGTGCTCTGTGTTCAAAAGAAGCAAGTCCAGCCAGCCACTACTACTGCCCTGGTTGGCCTTCAGTAGAGACTATGAATCCATGAATTTGCAATATTATCCTTCCTAGTTTTTATGACATTCAGCTTGTTGATACTACTGAGCTTTAATTTATCAATATTATTGATTCGATATTATTTAAACAACACTAATTCATTCATTCACTATAATGTATATATAACTGTGGAGCCTGATGAATAAGGGGCTATCGAAGAGAGTTCTTGTTGTTCAGTAGCCCTTCTTTTGAAAATTTTAATGGGCATTTTTAATCAATTAAAAATGATCATTACTAAATATTACGTAAATATATGCGTTTAAAGCCAAATGACGCAGTTTTCAAAATTAATATTCCCTACTTGAACTTTCTAATATCTTCTAAGCGGATGAATACGTAATTTCCCCATATAAAAGAAAAGAAAATTGTGTCATTAGAATTGTAAATTTTAGACAAAAAATTATGTAATATGAAACAAATTCTACCAGATCGGCAGTTTTGATGTTGTGTAATTTAAAATCTTTAAATATTCCCATTAATAATATTAGAACAAAGCATATAAGCGAACCATATTTTTGTTTTCAATTAGATCTTCTTCAGGCTTTACTCTAATTTACATAGTTTTATATCTAAAATGTTTACTATAGTTTGGTTTGTAAGGGTTAGTTATGTTTTTGCAAGTTGATCATGGTTTGGTATTAGTTAGAGAACCATTGAAAACTAAGGAATACTGAACAGCTGCTGTTTCATCCTAGTTTGGAAATCATCGGAAGTACGCAGCCACTGCCAGGGTTCGAACCCAGGACCTTCTGGTTACAAGGCAAGCTGGCTCGGATACGATTCAACCAGTGAGACCCGACTCAATGGCCAGTTCATGAATTCTAACTTCTACCAATTCGTGATTTAGCGCGACCCCAACCATTGTTGTAGATGGGACATCCATCCACACACGTGACATCTAATTGGACCTCACTGGTTACGACTTCTTACTAGAAATCAGGAAACTTCGACCTGTAGCAGGTCACTAGCTAGCATCAGATTAATTTACTATAGTTTGGTTCGTAAGGGTTAGTTATGTTTTTTTTTTAACCAATGACGGTGATTTTTTCGATCAATTAATAATGTGGTAAATGTTTTGAGCGTCAATAATAACGATGATTATATTGATAACAAAATATTGATAATAAGGTTTATGCAGGTGGCGATAAGA